CTACTGGCTGCATCTCCCTACCCTCAGTGGTCCACTAGAGCCATTAACAAACTGAGAACATTAGGATTAGACCCGTACCAACTTTTGGAAAGCGGCTATGCTAGGGCAAAAACCACTGTTTACCAGCGTCTCAGAGATATTGAGCTACAAACATCTTATGCCGCACTTCCGCCTCTTTACAAATCTCTGAAATCCAAAACGTTAATGTCTGCTCCTTTATACCTAGCTAATATTTCCAACCCAAATCATAGATGGGCCTTTTCCAGAGCAAAAAATGCAGTTCTTTTCAGAAGATTTCAACGTATCCCCAGACATTTGAGATTTTGCTCATGCCCTTCCGAGTCAATAGAGACCCTCCCCCATATATTATTTCATTGCTCCCACTATGCAGAAGAGCCCTTTTAATTACGCCTTCATTAAGGTCATTTAGGTTTCAAGGACAATTAGTAATCCAGTCCGAGGAACTTTTGCTGAAACACCTACTGGAGGACAAATCCACGGTTATTTCAAGGAATGTTGCTAAATTTCTTTTTATTGCAATTATAAAGCGTAAGCACCTCCTTAATACTCCTTGAGATGTTTTTTCTCTGTAATGCCTTACGACAATCTGGAGACTGTTTTTGATTCTGTATGCTGTTTGATGGGTCTTTGACCGTAATAAACTGATTGATTGATTGATTTCCAAAGAAACCCTGAAATTGTAAGGTAACTTACCAGTTGCTCGTATCCGCCAAAGATATACATGCTCTTTCCCAAGACACAAGCGGAATGCCCATCCCTTGCTCCTGGTACCATTCCGGACACTTTTGGTGTGGACCATTTATGTGTGCCTAAAATGTAAAAAAGGAGAGAGAGAGAGAGAGAGAGAGAGAGAGAGAGAGAGAGAGAGAGAGAGAGAGGCTGACACACGCAGACACACAAGAGAGAGAGAGAGAGAGAAGCTGTCATGAGCAGACACAGACTGGCATTCAAAGGAGTGACAAAAAGTGAACTCTTGGCAGGGGGACAGAACATTCTAAATCTACAACACAGTCCTCACCTGGTAAGGACAAAACTATCTTACAGCTTCTGATAAACTCTCCAAGGCACCTGCCACTTCCTCATAGGCAGGATGCTGTGTGCTTTCACAGTGACCCTAATGTAAAACTGTGCACTACTAAAGCAAAGGTACACTGTAAGAAATGCCTAGAACTTTACAGGAACTGACTCAACTGCAAGAAAGTTTCTACCCTCTTTGAAAAACGTTTTTCAGATAGGGCAGTATGAATAAGGAGTAATAAAAAGCTTACACAGGCAGCTGTCTTAGAGGGCCCTCCCAACCCCCCAGATAAGCTTTGGAGCAGCAGGAGATGCCCTAAACCACAGTTGGCAGTTTGCTTCAGCCATCATTCCAAGAGGCAGCGCAATGTTCCGGCTTGTTCAGTATCCCCTCAGCTTCTCACAACCTGGATTCCCTCCACAGCCATCCACTCCAACCAGAGCTGTACTCTAGCCCACTGCAAGGTCAATGTAAGCTCCAGGGAGACGATTAGCACAAAGGGAAAGGGAGATTTGCTCCTAGTGGGAGGCTTGCCATACTTGGATTTCTAAAGCCAGTCATGTGTTATTATCAAAAAGATTTCAGCCAAGAGTAACACATGAAACTAGAGACTGAAGTGGGCTGTGACATCTGAGCTGGACTGTGCTTACACAACTGCATAAGTCAGCGAAGGACAATGCCCTGCAGAACAGCCTCGGGACTTTGTCTAGCCTGAAGTGACTCATGCAAGAGGGCTTCCACCTTGTCCCTTGAGAGGGGAGAGGATTATCAGTGCTTTCCAGGAATGGTAGGAAATGGCACAAGCAAATGCATGCAAAGCTGCCCAGGACTCTGGACAGCAAGCACTTGCCTAGGCAGGTTTTCAGTCACTCTTTGCTAAAAATTAATGACAGCAAAATGGGACTCGCTGATACCAGAATCTACAACAGTATTCTACAGATACCTGCAAAAATATACATTACATATCAGTGAAAAAAATACATCAAATATGTGTGAAAAAATATACTTTAAAGAAAGGAGCTGAAAACCTAGGAAGAGAGCCCAAGCACTGAAAGGCTTCTTCAGTTTTTGCAGGCATGGGCAGTTTACAGTTTCTTTTACCCTTTTCCTTGTTATGGCTAATTTACAGAAATCACCCCCCTTATCTAAGAACTGTAATACCCGCTCAGTAAAATGATACAAGTGTGTAAGTATCTCTCTCGCAAGGACACTTGCACAGGCCTTTCCCATATTCTGGCACTGCACATATGTTGGATTGGCTCCTGAAGTACTACCAAACATGCATTTTCACTGGGCCAACACTTTCACACATCACTTTCCCCAAGTTACACTGGTATACACATCCATCTGTGTCTTCATGTCTCCCCAAGTTACACTGGTATACACATACATCTATGTCTTCAAAAAATAATGTGAAAGTCGATGTCCTACCTGTGCTGACCAAAAGACTCCAAAACAATAATCTCTTCTATTTCTTTTATATTTTTTAAAAGGATATTACTATGTTTAGGATTTGGCTTCTGCATAGAGCTCTTAGCTCCATTTTTGGCTTCAATGGTGCAGGTTCTCTCACTGGGTCCTTGTTGTTGCTCTTCTTAACCTATGTTTCCTGCAAGGCCCTTCTTGTGCCTTGCAAACTTCTCTATGTAAAGTTATTCTGCCTGCATGTTACTATCTTATTTCCCCCTCCATTTCCTTTAATGCTCCACATTCTCTTCTTGCTACTGTGAGTAACTTTGTCCTTCCTCCAAGGAACTCAGGTCCACATACATCATTTTACCCTTCCACCAGTTCATCCTAACAAATGCTCTGTGAGGTAGCTTATGCTGAGAAAGACTCACCCACCAAGATCAGCTTCATGGACTCCCAGATCCAAGTCCAGCCCCTATACCACTGTGAAATTCCTATGACTGTTAAACATTTTAGAAGTGGGAAACCATATCATCAACAATGCTGCAATCCTTTAAAGGTTTTGCACCTATTTTCCTTGTTTAAATGCAAATGTAGACTGTGTCCACATGCATTTGGGAACATGAGACAGACTCGCAAGGGAAGGAACCAACACTTACTGACGTCAAAGGCATATAGTACATTGCAGGCTCCCTCAGTATCATTGCGGCCTCCCCAGATGTAGATGGTATCATCAATGAGCACTGCAGAATGTCCGTATCTCATGTAGGGCACTTCCCTCACATGGTCCCTGCTGTTGGTCCACACTGGAGGTAGCTTAGTCCAACGTAGAGAGACTACAAGAAAAAGCACACAAGCCTATTGGTGGATTTACTTGCCCCCAAGCATTAGGTTGTCATGTATACAGATCCACAGAGAAACTACAAACACTTCAGCTCCTCTGATTAACAAGCCATAGAAGAAATTCAATCATTTATGGAGAGCCCTTATCAACATGCAGGAAGTGAACAATCAAACACCATCAAGTTTGTAGACAATAAAAGCGAATGAGGACAACAGAAAGGTACTAAGCAGTATCAATAGATCACTGAGAAAAAGATGAAGATGTTCACCAGGACCTATTTGTTATTAGCAGACAGAGGCTCTCTATCATGTTGATGTGAGAACAGAAGGAAACTCCTTCCCCTTGCTCTGAGCTCCAAAAGAACTGAGTTCCAAAAAATTTACATAAATGAGCACAATTCTGAGTATATTAAGCAGGTATATCTCATTTCATTTAACTGTTAAGCAACATTAAACTCACAGTTAAGCATTTTTAAAAAGGGAACAGGTAGCACAATGGCAGAATAAAACATGCAACAGTGCATCATGAAAGAAGAGTCAAGGCATTTGTCCATTCATTCATCATTTAGATAGCAGTATTCAGCATACCAAAATCTTTACAATTCTACCATTTATTTTCACAACTGGGTTGAGGGAACTGTCACCACCACCAAGTGAGTTTCACTGTTCACCCAGCCTGAGTCTCCAACACCTGAATACAATAGTTTATCCAGACCTACTGTCACCCTTCCAACCACCCTGAAGATCCTACCCATCTGCTTCTCCAATCCTGCCTTAATTTGGATCAAATTAATTTGGATTAGCCCACTTGCCTTTGAGGGTTAAAGCCACCTGTTTTGCAACAGCCCTACCTATACCTCAAATTAAAATTAACTTTTATTTAAAAAAGCAAGTCGCTAACATGCCAGAGGCTGTGAAACGAAGGTAATTAGTTTTGCTTTATGGAATAATAGTTTGCAGAGAGTCTCTCTGACATCCAACACCTGCCATCTCCTAAGAAAGAGTTTTCTCTAAGTTAGCGACTATTTTGTGCATGTCTGAATTTATGTTCTAGGCTATTCCAACTTTCTTGTTTCAGATTACCAGTTACATCTTCAGACGCTTGCCTGGAAATAAGATGGGTATTAATTTACCTGGACAGAATAGTTTTGGGAAACTAAACTGTGAGTATAAAAAGCCCCCTATACTGAATGTGAAAGAGATGCACAGATTTCATGATTGTTTTTGTTTGTGTTAACCAGGTAACATGCTAGATTCTAGTCCAGTAGCACCTTAGAAATCAAAAAGATTTTTTTTGGAAGGGGTGGATAAACTTTCAAGAGTCAAAGCTCCCTTTGTCAGATGCAAAAATGTGTATCTGATGAAGAGAGGGTATACCCCAGAAATCTGGTTGGTCTCTACGGTGCTACTGGATTCTATTGCAGCTCAACGCGGCTACCCTCTGAAACTGTCTAACTATGAAATATGTAGTAGAGCTGTAGCAATGTACCCTCCTTTAAGAAACTGAATGAAACCTGGCTACCATTGTCTCTCACTTTTGAGTGACATAAGTCACAGGTGAGCTTAATCTGAAGGTGAGGAGTGTGTTAACTTAGAAAATCATTCCCTCTTTCTATAAGAAACCCTTATTTGGATAGTTTGTTCTATTCTGATTACTTCCACACAGAGGATATAACAAAGAGGTAAAAGTTGGGAAAAACAGGTAGAGAGCATCAAATTATGCCTAGAGATATAAAAAGTCTGTAATACAGCAACTAGTAAAATATATATTGTTGAATGATAGACATAAAAGCAAATAAACGATGACAAGAAAGAAGAAAATTAGAAAGCAGTTCTGACTAGAATTAGAATGCAATAAAGGATTAATGCTGAGATTATTTGCCAGGATTAACTAAATGAAAGTACGAAATTCTAATAGGTACATTTTTAAAAGACAGATTTATATCGGCCTTTATATAGCCCAGAAACATCTAGATCAAACAGTCATCTTACCTGCATTAAACACATGAACATCGATCTGTCGCAGAGTCTCATAGTCTTCACCAGAACAGTAGCCACCAAAAGAGTAGACTTTGTGTCCAACAGCCACAGCAGCGTGGTTTACTCTCCGTGGCCCACCTTCTAAGTGCACTGTCCACCGTAACATTCCCTTCTGTGAGTGCTCAATCCCTCCAAGCTGGGGGTGGAGGCTCTAGGGTCTCATGCCCCACAGGGCTACCAACCAGCCATGTTGCTTTGTTGCCACGGAGCTATACAACAGACAGATAATATAAGTGCTTAAAATGTGTCTTATAAGGCCCATTGCCCAAGGAATTAGGGTCTTCTTGTACATAACACTTTCCCCGCTGAAGATTTTAATAGCTCTTTCAAACTTTACATTACACCATTCATTTCTTTTAATACATTTGGGTGGCTGGAAACAGTAAGGCCTGTTAGATTATAAAAGCTTAAGACAGAATATGTAATAACAAATAACATGGAACCACTGCAAAAAAGTGTCCCTGTGCCTTGAGAGATCATGCTCGGCAGCTCAAGAGGACAGGATTTCTCCTTCTATTAATGATTTCAAAGAATACACAGTAAATGAGAGCAGGAGTTAAGTGGTGTTACCATGAATACCTACTACATTTATTTGCTTGAACAGAAGGCATTTCCCCCCTGGCCTTCTCAGTCTGGAACAACAAGTTCTAAAAACCATAAGGCTGTTGCCAAAAAAAGTCAGCCCCATGCAGAGCCCTTCTCTGTTAACGCTCCTCAGGACATCAATGGCTGTCACTGGTGAAGAAGACATAATGACATCAGTAAAGTTACATGAGGTAAATTATACCACATACTGCAGAAAAGAAGGAGGAGAACTCCACATGGGGCTGCCATTTTTAGCTACATCCCCACATTTCCAATAATATGCATAACCTTCAACATTTCACAGGAAAGACATGGAGCCACACTTATATAGTCCCTTCTTTAATAACTGCTAGGGTGTTTCAGGTGGGGTAGCTGTGTTGGTCTGAAGCGGCAGAACAAAGTCATAGAATCACAGAGTTGGAAGGGGCCATACAGACCATCTAGTCCAACCCCCTGCCCAATGCAGGACCAGCCTAAAGCATCTCTGACAAATATTCGTCCAGCCTCTTCTTGAAAACTGTCAGTGAAGGGGAACTAACCACCCCTCTAGGCGGCTGATTCCACCTTTTAACCACACTGACCGTGAAAAAGTTTTTCCTAATATCCAGCTGATACCTTTCTGCATGTAATTTAAACCCATTGCTTCAGGTCCTATCCTCTGCTGCCAACTGGAACAGCTCCTTGCCCTCCTCCAAATGACAGCCTTTCAAATATGTAAAGAGAGCAATCATGTCCCCCCTCAATCTCCTTTTCTCCAAACTAAACATTCCCAAGAGCCTTTCCTCGTAGGGCTCAGTCTCCAGACCCCTGAACATCCTCGTCCCTCTCTTCTGCACCCTCTTGATTTTGTCCACGTCCTTTTTGAAGTGAGGCTTCCAGAACGGCACACAATTCTCAAGGTGTGGCCTGACCAAGGCAGTATACAGAGGGGCTATGACCTCCTGCAATTTCGATGCTATGGCCCTTTGAATACAACCCAAGACTGAATTTGCCTTTTTTGCCACTGCATCACACCGACCGCTCATATTTAGTTTACAGTCCACCCTTACCCCAAGATCTCTTTCGCATACACTACTCCCCAGAAACATATCCCCCATCCAGTATTTTTGCTTGACATTTTTGTGGCCCAGATGTAATACTGTGCATTTATCTTTGTTGAATTGGATCCTGTTTGCAACTGCCTACTTCTCCAGAGTATTCAGGTCTTGTTGAATTTTAACTCTATCTTCTTGGGTGTTTGCTACTCCTCCCAATTTGGTATCATCAGCAAATTTAATGAGTAACCCTTCTACCCCTTCATCTAGATCATTGATAAAAATATTGAAAAGTACCGGGCCCAAAATCGAGCCCTGCAGCACCCCACTGGACACCTCCCTCCAATCTGATAAAACGCCATTGACCACCACTCTTTGGGTGCAGTCCTCTAACTAGTTCCCTATCCACCAAAGTGTCCTGTAGTCCAGTCCACAGTCTTCCAGTTTGCCCATCAGAATGTCATGGGGAACCTTATCAAAAGCTTTACTGAAATCCAGGTAAATCACATCAACAGAGTTCCCAAGGTCCAGTAAGCTCACCACACGATCAAAGAAAGAAACCAGGTTGGTCTGACAAGGTCTGTTGTGGTCTGAGTCCAGTGGCACCTTCAAGACCAGCTAAGTTTTATTCACAGGATAAGCTTTCGTGAATAAAACCGTGTTAGTCTTAAATGTGCCACTGGACTCAACCTTAGTTTTGTAAGGGTGTTTGTTCTCTCAGTTAAGGATATGCTAGAAGAAAATAATTGTGTTAACAAAAAAATTTCAAGAATTCAAAATATACCTCAGCGGCTGCAATGTATGAAATCACAGGCTGTGAACTACACAGTCCCTTAGTATTCATGGAGCATTCCACTATATGCATGCCCACAAGCATCAAGATCCTCTCCTCTCCTTCAATGATTTAGTTGCTAAAGACCAAGGGAAGGGGCTGGATGCAGTAAACAACAATTCTAGCAACACATACTAATAATTCTTGAGACAGTATCTCCAAAAGGCAAAAAAGGGGTAATAATTTACCAGGGACAGTGACCTGAAAACAGGGACTATTCAAGGGAAGTAAGGGGAGCTGGAACACCATATGCAATGTATTACCTCGAAATTATGACAATATCCACAGACAGAGAAAGTACAACCACACAAAAAAGTAAGTCTTAGGGCTGCTAGCGGCATTGTTAATCTGCGTTGCCAGGGAGACAGGTATTCCCTGTACACGTTAGTGTAGGAGTGGACCACATTCTAGTCTAACCCAAATCCACACTTTAAACAGTTGCAACATAGGGACGAAATCTCTCTTTTAGTACCTATGCTAAAACAGCTGCTAGCCTGGGTTCTACATCCAAGTTAACGGGATGCTTCAAACCTAAGCAGGGACCCACAAATGCTATGAAGTGGCACATTTCTTCTACCAGCTTGAAAGGGGTACTAGAAATCTGAAAACAGTGAAATCAGAAACAAAGCTTATTGAAACTGAGAAAATTTAAGCAATCACAACAGTATCAAGCATTCAACAATACCCCGCACTGGAATGTGTCTCTGTGTTAAGTGCTGTCAGCTCACTCCCCACATAGCAATTCTATAAGTTAATGACCTCCAAAATGCCTTGCTCAGGTCTCACAAACTAAGGCTTCCTTCATCATTGAGTCAATCCATCTCGTGCCAGGTCTCCCTTTTTTCCTGCTGCCTTCAATTTTTCCTGGCATTACTGTCTTTTCCAGTGAGCCTTGTAATTCTCATAATGTGAACAAAGTACGATCGCCTCAGTTTAGTTGTTTTAGCTTTTAGGGAGAGTTCAGGCTTGATTTAATCTAGAACCCACTTATTTGACTTTTTGGCAAAAGAGCGAAATATTACTGGTGAGTGTACGTAAGTACACAGCGCACGCACACAAGTTCCCTCAAGAAGAGAAGCAAAATGTCAAAGAGGTACAGCAAGAGAGTAAAGCAGGGGCTTACAGCTACCCATCTGTGCCAGTTCATCAAACTGTGCAAGAAAGGGGGTTCAGGAGTCTCAGCAAGTCAGTACTCCAAAAGGTGGCTGAAAGAGCAGTAAAGAAGCACATGGTAGGTAGCTGATCAGGTACTCCCCAACTGCATGAACACAAGTGGCTGAGAGCCAGACAGAACATACCCACACGACCTCCAACAAGCACATCTGAACAAAGCAACATCTGGAGACACATTCTGGCCACAGTTGTATGAGGCCTCAGTCCAAAACAAAAGATTATTTTCTTCCCAGGTTTGGAAATAGGGGAGAGATTGGCGAGGGGACAGGTATAGGACTGAGTGAAGATGGGAAGAATCCCCCTAAGCTGAGTTAGTGTGAGCTAGCTCACAGTTTTTTTATCTTCCAGCTCACACATTTTTGTCTTCGCTCAGGAAGGATGGCTCCAGAGCAAACTGATTTATGCAGTAGCCAAATTGCTCGCTCACAGCTTTAATGCCAGTAGCTCACAAAGTAGAACTTTTGCTCATAAGACTCCACAGCTTAGAAGGAACATTGGTGCACACTCCTGAGAGTGTTTCCCAGTTAGGGACAGAGGGTGTGTGTAGCAGGGCAGTTACCACAATGAGTTGAGATTCGTGGTAGGAAATTCAACAGTCCAAATTAGATCAATCTGAAACTTTTTAATAGGAATTGCTAATTTGAGCACAGTAATTTACAAGAGTATGCTATGACAGGATTCATTCGTGGCTAAGTGCCCTGATTAATTGCTGAGAGTGTCCAATAGCTAGATGCCAGGCAAGTCTCCAGTAGTCCTTCCAGTCCAACACTCTGTATCACACAGTGGCCAGAAATACCAGTGCCATCAGGAGGTCCACCAGTGGGGCCAGGACATTAGAAGCCCTCCCACTGTTGACCCCCCCCCAAGCACCAAGAAGACAGAGCATCACTTGCCCCAGAGCCCCTATCTATACCTTGTGGCTCATAGCCACTGATGGACCTCTGCTCCATATGCTTATCTAATTCCCTCTTGAAGCCGTCCATGCTTGTAGCCACCACCACTTCCTGTGGCAGTGAATTCCAAGTGTTAATCACTCTTTGGGTGAAGAAGTACTTCCTTTTATCCGTTCTAACTCGACCGCTCAGCAATTTCATGGAGTGCCCACGAGTTCTTGTATTGTGAGAAAGGGAGAAAAGTACCTCTTTCTCTACCTGTTCTTTCCCATACATAATCTTGTAAACCTCAATCATGTCACCCCTCAGTCGTCGTTTCTCCAAGGTAAAGAGCCTTCCATCTGCTAGCTCTCAGGTCTTCTGAGGTGCTACTGCCCCCAGGCACTCAGTTTCTTGTGACAAGTAAACAGAAGATGGCTTCATGTCCTCAAGAAGGGAGGGACAGGAAGAAACGGCTTGATGGCAACAGCATTCATTAAGTTAGTCTTTTAGGCCAGATATTTTGGTTTCTACTTCCCCCCCTATCCTAGGATAGATGAATGGAGACAGTCCCTAAAACAATTCACTCATAAAGAATGCCCCAAAGTCCCTATCAAAACTAGTCATCTGTAGCGAACCTGTATTTTATTGTGAAAAAACTAAGACGGAGCGAGAAGAAATCTATTAGCAACAGGCAGATGAACAGCAGTGAT